GGGCCAGGCACCAGGGCCTGGAGGGGCGGGAGAGACTCGCCGGACCCCGCGCCCTCCTCAGCTCAGGTACGCGGCCTTTCTCGACCCACAGGGGAACCTCACCCTCTTCTACTGGAAGCTGCTGGCCGTGCGTCTGGGCTTCATCGTCGCCTTCGAGGTAGGGTCAGCTATTTGTGTGGGGGGGACAGACTTGGGTTCAAGTTCAAGCGCTGCCGCCGACCAGCTGTAAACGGGGGGTATGCTATAGAATAGGATCTACTTCATAGGGTCGTTATGAAGATTCGGTGCCAAGCACTTGCACAGTGTCCAGCACATTGTAGGTGCTCAATAAATTAATAGCACTACGACTACGACTGTTATCTTTGGGCAACAGACCTGGAGGAAGGAGAGGAGGCATGCTCCCTCCGGCTTTGCTTAGGATCCTTTCTCCAGCTCTGTCTCTACCAGGGTCCCTAGTGTTACGGGTTTCGAATTATGCCCGTGTCTTTGGGCAAATGACAACCGCTTTATGCTTTAGTCTCTTCACCTGTAAAACAGGAATAGTGACTGTACTCACCTCCTAGTGTTGTTGTGAGGATTAAGTGAATTAATACCCGGGAAACCTCAGAATGGTGCCTTGCACTTAGTAAGCGCTCGATAAATTAAGGTAGCTAAGGGACTCATTCTCTCTTTGGCTCCCCCTTGGCCCCAGCACGTGGTGGTCTCCGTGCGCCTCCTCGCCTGGCTCGTGCCCGACGTTCCAGCAGCCCTGGTTACCAAAATAAAGCGCGAGCGCTATCTGGCCATGCAGAAGCCTGCGGACTCCGGGGAGGCGCTGCTTTAGGTCAGCACTGCTAACGGACCCTGGCCCCTCCCTGACCACGCCCCCGGCCCGCCCCCACGCCTTAGCTCAGCCCCCTCTTGCCCCGCCCTCTAGTTTGGCCTCTCCCAGAGGGAGAATTGGCCCCCTTCCGTCTCCTTTCTGCCTGGCCCCGCCCTTCACCAAACTCCGCCCACTCCCCCGCCCCCTCTATGACATTATCCCCACCGGAGTCCCCTCTGCTCTCCAGGGCCAGCCTATTCAGCCTGACCAAGCCATGCTTCCTGTCCTCTACAGCAGGGGCGCTGTCCCCAGAGCCCAGGACCAGGCGCGAGTGAGGCGGGACTGCCCTTCAAGAACCCTAGGTTCCCCAGATGCTTCCTTCCATTTGGGGTCCTCTGCTTCTGGCCGGGGGTCTGGGCAGTACCTTGGCCAGCGACCCCAAGGTCGGCCTCGGAACTGGGGTGAGAGGATTAGAGCATTAAAGCTCTCTGAAGACCGCTAGTCCTGCATTGCCTCCCTCTCCCTGTCCCCGTCTCCTGCTCTGTGTGCAGTGCTGGCAATAAACCTCTCTCTGCCCCCCAGTGTGCCACCTGTCCATGGACACCTGGTTTCCACACACACTGTGCAGTGTCTCTTCATTGTCTGGATGTTCTGGAGGCCAAGGGAGTGGAGGGACCCTAATCACTCAGTACTGAGTGGTCACCAGTTGGTGGGGGAGAGTACATTGGGATCTGGGCCCTGGATACCTGCCCCATATGCTCATGGAGGCCGGCAGTGTATGAATAATAGTAAAACGGTTTAGTCAGGAGAGCTGAGACACCTCCCAACGGACGTTTACACACTTTTCACCAGATTCTCCCAAAAGCCTGGTGACGCAGTCCTGGGCAGTGGCTAAGGACAGAGGTTGGTGGTTGAGTCAAAGACCTGGGTTTGAATATTAGTTCTGACACCTATTAGCTGTATGATCTTGGGCAAGTGATTTAATCCCTCGGACCTCAGTTTCATATCTATAAAATAGAGACTTCATAGAGCTGATGAGAGATTGAATGGGATAACCCCCTCCCCCGATTTAACACGTACAAGCCTCATGTCCTCATCTGGTAAGTGGGAGCAGTAACAGGGTTGTGGTGGAGATTGAATGAATACAGTATCCCTTGCTTTTCAGAAGTTTGCATTACACCACTTGGCTTTCACCGAAGACTTCTATTTATTAGTACCTGTTTTCACTAACCGGAAGAAATCCAAAGAAAATTTTTGCTTTTAGGGAAAAAGGTGAAAAAGGGAAAATAGCGTTCAACATTTGTTTTGCAGCAATCCTTTATAGAGGCAGCACACACCCTGAGCAGAGAGCCTGCCACACCAAGCTTTTCCCTGGCCCAGCACTCAGCATCTCAGGATCAAGCCAACAGAGCTTTGAGCTATGTCCTGGGGCATCTGTGTTTTATCTCGATTTATTTTGTGCATCTGTTAGCAAGATGTGTCCTCAAGTATCGGAAAAGCCTAAGAGAGGTTATTTTTGGGGTATGGAAATGCTAAAAACATTTTTCCATATACATTAATGGTAATTGCTTCTTTGTTTTATGCCATTTTGGCTTAGGAAAGCTTTCATAGGAACACTCTACTTTTGGGTAGTGGGGGAAACTTGTAAACAGATGTGAAGTGCTCAGAACAGTGCCTGGCACATAGTGTACAATAAGTTATGAGCAACATGAGTATTGGTATTTGTGTACATATTGATATTAACACTGAGTGTCTGGCAATTGCCGAGTGCTTAAATAAATGGCAGGTAGTATTGGGAATAGAACAGCTTTCCCTTTCATGGGCTTGGGAAGATTGCATGCTTGCTGCAGCCTCCTTACTGGAGGCTGGTTCTACTGGGGCTGTTGGTTTATTGAGGGCTTATTCGGTGTGGGCTAGAGTCTGGGAAGGCTTCCTGGTGGAGGAGGCCATTGGAAATGGCAAGGTGGGTCATTCCAGGCAGCAGGAGAGGATGGGTCATTCATGGGAGCAGTGATGCTGGGAGGGTTGGCCAGGATGGTCCTGGATGTACATCACCAACTTTCATGATTTCCATCTCTCCACCATAGAAATGAGTGTTCCTATTTTATAGGTGCTGTAGCCAGCTCTGGGAGGGTCAGCAAACTGCAGAGTTCTCAGGGTACCTGAGAAGTCCAAGGCTTGGGAGGTTCTCTGTGAAGCCTCTCCTCCCCCAGCATGTCTTACATTTGGGAAGCTTCAGAAGAGGGGTGACTTGTTTCTTGGGCAGAAAAGCAGTGCTTCCCCCATCTTTAGGACATCGGTCTGGGGTCCTTCAGAGCCTCTCCCGGGCATAGGACTCCCATTGTTCCAGCCCCCCTCTTGTACCCCAGACTGGCCAAACCGGTTCTGGGGAAGGGGGGCGGGGAGCAGGCACGTTGAGACAGCCGCCTGCCCGCCTGCGAGGTTCCCTCCGCCTTCGCCTCCCCCTTCCCCGCCCCACACAATACCCAGGATCGTGCACTGCCCGGCTCAGGGGCCATGCTGACATAGCCCCCCGAGGACCCAGCTGCAACCCCAGAGCCCCCAGGTGGTCTGGAGCCCTGGACCGTGTCGGAGGCTGGACAGAGCTCCCTGGCTGAGGTAGGGCCCCACCCTGCTGCCTGCCGTCCCATCCTCCTCCCGCCAGTCTTCCCAGAGTGAGTCCTTTGTGCTGCCTGCCTGGCCTCTGATCCTGGCTCCCACCCACTTATGGCCTCCTGGGGCTCCATAGCCTGTTTGGCCTGGATCCCCTTTCCAGCCATGACCTTCCACTCGGCTTTGTCCCTGAAGGGGCACAGGGGCCATGGCAGGGCCCTACCCCTCTGGGCATCGGGGCAAGGGGGACCAGGGAGGGAGGCAGGGAAATCCTGGGCACAGGAAGCCAGAGGTGCTCTCCCTGAACCGTAGTAGTATCCAGAGACCCTCTCTGCCAGCCTTGCCAAGTGGGCCCACTGTCCATGTGATTAGCAGTGTCCACTGGATGGGGCCCTCCTTGGTCCCTGCCTGTCCTTCTGCCCGCAGAGATATTCATGATGACACGAGTTTCCTAGAGGGGGCAGCCAGGAGGGACCTTCCATGCTACTTTACAGGTGGGGACACTGGGGCCCAGGAACAGGCTATGACTCGCCTAGGGCCACACAGCTGGTAGTGTCAACACTGGGCTTGAACCTTGGCAGGGGTTTTCCCCTATGGGTTCCAGAATGACCATTGCCACTAGAGTATCCGGTGATCCTGTCTGGAGCAGGGAATGAGCCTGCTACTTGGGGCCAGTTCTCTTCCTGAGGTTTTTTTCCTTTATTTTTTTTTTCTAGCAGAGATGAGCTGCACACAGTATGAACATAGCTCAACCGCTCCTTGGTCCCGAGCACTGAGGTTGAGCGGGCCACATCTTGGGAAGGCCACAGGGCTGGTATCCAAGCTAGATGGGTCATTCCCATTGCCTTTTGGTCTGGACAGAGGTGGAGGTTGACTCACCCCTGACTTTCCCTCTAGGGACCTGCCTCCAGCCTCCTCTCTACAGAAAACCTACCACCTTCCCCTAGCATCCACCCAGGCTTCTCCTCTAAGCCTTTAATAGGGGGTGCTCCTGCCCCAAGGCTTCCATGTTTTTGCTCACTTATCCCTGTAACTCAGGAGGGCATGGGGGGTGGTGTGCTCCCTGCCTCCCAGGGGCTCCCTGAATCCAAGTGGAGAGGATCTCCCAGAATACAAGGGAGCAGAAGCACGTGTGTATTCTTGCACATGGGTCCCCACAGAAGCAAGTAGGACTTCTATGTTGAGGACTTCAGATTCCTGGAGAGAAAGAGACCTCTCTGGCCGGCAGTGGTCCCAAGTCTCCTTCCACATGCTCCTACAAAGAAGGGTGGGCCTCATCCTCACTGACTCAGTTTCCCCATCCGTGTGACGACCCAAGCCACCTGCTGACTAGAGAAAGACTAATCCCAATATTCAGGAGAATGACTATCAACTACAAAGCTCCCACTCTGTGCGAGGGGCTTTACGTGTGCTATCATTAATTCTCGTGTTAGTGTTTTAAAGCTGGCAGGACTAGCCTATTTACCAGATGAGGAAAAAGAGACGTGCTCAGATGGACAGAGGTTTAAGGTACAAGCTAAGCTGCCCACACGGACAGGGAGGGTAACTGTCTCTTAGGAGCAGCCCCACCCCATCCCAGGCAGGGACTGAAGAGAGCAGGGCAGCAGCTGGGTGGCTCTGCAGACGGAGTGGTCCCCCCCTGGGTCCTCTCCTCCATCCCCCCCCTCATCCCTTGGTCACTGACGCTGTCACTGTTTCTCTCAGGTCAAGATTTTCTCCCTATCGATGTTTATTGGGTCCCTGGCTATTTCAGCCGGAACAGTTAGCCATTACTTCCTCCAGGAAGCCTTCCTGGAATGCTCAGGTCAAGTTGAGCCCAGCGCTGATGGTTCCTCTGGCTTGGCTCCTGCCAACCCGGATTGTAACTGTTTTCATTTTCAGCTCCCTCACTAGACTGGCAACCCTGTGGGCCACAAAACGTTTGTCCCTCTGTCTCCCGGGGTTTTTCTGGGCTTTGCATCTGTCTCTGAGTATCTGGTCTGTGAAATTTTCGGTGTCTCTGTCTCTGTCTCCATCTCTGGGTCCCTGAATGTCTTGGCGTCTGTGGTTTTCTGGGTTTGAGTGTTTTGGGGTCTCCCGTTCCGAGATGCTGCCTAAAGGGTCTCCGTATCTCTGGGTCTCTATCTCTGTCTCTGTCCCCTGGGTCTCCTTGCCCTGCCAGGCTGGGCACTGCTCCTCTGGCCAGAGGGGGCCTCTGGGGGGGTCCTTGCTGCCCCGCCTGCCCACAGTGAGGCCAGGCTAGGGTAGGCCCCCGCCCAGCCCGCTGCCTGCTCCCTCCCTCCCTACCGCTTGCCTCACCACAGGGTTTGATGAATCAAACTCTTTGTCTGGGTGGGATCTCCCCCAGCCAGCTGGGCAGAGAGAGGGCTTCTCCCGCCGGAGCAGGAGCAGAACAAGATCAGCAGCGGCCCTCGGCTGGAGAGGTGAGAGGCTGCAGGAGGGCAGCCGGTGGAGGGCCAGGGGGAAGGGCTGTGGGGGCTCGGATCCCTCTATCATCAGGCCTGTCCCGAGGCTCCCGCAGACTCCTTGGGGATGACTCCCTGCCCAGAGAGGACCCGGTCAGCCTGGCTCGATCGCTGGGGTTGGGAACCCCGGGTAGGGAAGAACCCCTCTCTCGCCCCAAGTGGGGGATCCAGGACATCTCCCTGCCCTTCTCCCGGGAGGGCCTAGCCTGATCTGGGTGGTGGCCCGCCTGCCAGTCTGTGACCCTCCCAGCCAGCTTGGCAGGGTGTGGGCACCACTCAGCGCAGAAGGCTGCAACTCTGGGCATGGTAGAGGTTGGGTAACACCGAAGCAAGGACTTCTGGGCCCGTGTATTTGTGTCTGTATCTCGGTGTGTGAGTGTGAATGGAACAGGAGTGTGAGAAAGCTTGAGTGGGTACATAAATATCTGATGGGTCAGTGTGTGTGTGTGTGTGTGTGTGTGTGAGAGTCTGTGTGAATATATGTAGTTGTGTGAAAAGTGCGTGAATGCGTGAGCCTGTGGCTTTGAAGTGCCTGAGTGTACCTATGAGAGTGTGTATGTCCAGGTGTGTACTTGGAAGAAAACGTGTGTGCATGTGCCCGGAACATACATGGATTGTGCGACAACGCATGTATGTGTGTCTGATCATAGGTCAGTGAGAGTTGAAAATGCACAAGGTGGTTAAAAGCGCAGACTCAGAAGCGAGACAGCCTGGGTTTGAATCCTGGCTCCCCCCATAGGCCAAATAACGTCTGTGCCTCACCTACCTCACCTATAAAATGGGGATAAAAATAGCATCAACTCAGGGTTGTGAGGATTAAGTGAAATAATATATATAAAGCACTTGCCACTTGCCCAGCACTTGCCGCTCGGTAAGTGCCCAGTAAGTATTAGCTGTTACTATGCAGTTAGGTGCGTGAGTGTGCGCACGCGTGTACACAAGGGTTTGTCCAGGCCTCCGAGACGGAGGTGGCTTGCTGGCCAGCCCTACTGTTCTGTGTCTGCCTCTCATACCTTTTCCCGTGCAGGCCCAGGTGGGTGGCAGAGCAAAGGAGGAATGGACTGTGGGCCACCTGCCACTCTCAAGTCCCACCTGGCTGGGCCACGTGGCTCTGCCCGCCACCCGGTAGCCGTGTGCCAGCAGGAGAGCCTGTCCTTTGCAGAGTTGCCTGCCCTGCAGCCCCCGAGCCCTGTGTGCCTGGATCTCTTCCCTGTGGCCCCAGAGGAGCTGCGGGCTCCTGGCAGCCGCTGGTCCCTGGGGACCCCTGCTCCTCTCCAAGGGCTGCCATGGCTGCCATCCCCGGAAGTCCCAGACACCGACATCTCCACTGGTGGGGCGATGCGGCCCAGCAGGGCTGGCAGCTGGCCACACTGTCCTAGTGCTCAGCCCCCAGCTCTGGAGGGACCCTGGAGTCCCCAGCACCCACAGCCGCAGCGCCGGGCCAGTCACGGCTCAGAGAAGAAGTCTGCCTGTGAGTCACTGTGGGTGAGGGGTGGTGGCCCAGTGGGACAGACAGGGGAGAAGTCGGGTGGCTCTTTTAAGCTTCATAAGCCCCAGAGTTCCCCAAACAGGCAGGACAAGTGGTAGATTCTAGTGAGAAGAGAATGGGAAATCAGGGAGGACTGGGACTTGTTGGAGGTTGCACCGCAAATGAGTGGCTGTCCTGGGCTCCTTGGCCCTTTGCCCACTGCAGGCAAGCGCTGTGCTCTCTCTGCTACCCCTCTTGTGGATCCCATTTTCGGGGGACGGGGGGACCAGATCCTGGCAAAAACACTGACCTTTCCCTCCGAGGCTCAGGGCCACAGGGTAGCAGCAGCGGGGAGTGGAGAGAGCGCCCAGCCGATGCAGACTGTGCTCTCGCCCCACTTCCCCGTAGGGCGCAAGATGCGGGTGTACCAGCGTGAAGAGCTCCCTGGCAGCCCTGAAGCCCATGCTGTCTTCCTGGAGCCTGGCCAGGCGGCAGAGCAGGCCCTGAGCACAGAGGAGCCTAGGCCACTGGAGCTGTCTGGACCCTCCCGAGGAGGCCTGGAGGGGCCTGAGCGGAGGCGCTTCTCAGCCTCTGAGCTGATGACCCGGCTGCACTCTTCCCTGCGCCTGGGGCGGAATTCAGCAGCCAGGGTGCTGACCCCAGGGTCAGGCACTGGTGCAGCTCGGGAAGGTACCAGCTTCTTCCCTGGGCCCTAAGAGCAGGTCGCGAGCCAGAGGCAGCATGGGGCACGGCCCACACCCGAGACGGGGTGCTGGTCCGCTGGAGTGTGGCACCCCAGTGCCCAGCGCCATTCTTGGAGCCACCCACCCTCAGCTCTCGCCCTCTCCAGGAAAAGCATCTGGAAGGGAGTCGCGCAGTGTAGAGATGAGGGTGGACGGTCTGGCGATGCCAACCCCTGTTGACCCGAGCGGGGGCCATAGCGGCTGGCCCGAGCCCAGGTACCACCTCCCACTCCGCGCTTGGTCCGAGGAGGGGTGCCGGCCAAGAAGGGCCCTGACTCTGTCCCTTTCCTAGGCTGGACACGCCGGAAGAGCTGGCTCCGGGGTCCAGGAGCGCCAGCGAGCGGCGCCAGTCACGGTTTCTCCTTAACAGTACGTGGGAGGAAGGGGCTGGGGGGCTGCGGGTTTGGAGAGTTGAGAGGTTGGGATCTTGCGAGAGGGCAAGAGAGCTGAATCTCCGTAGCAAGCACAGTGGCTAGCACGCAGTGAGTGCGCAAGCAGTGTTTCTGGAAGGAGTGAGTGAGTGAACGAGTTCACGGTGTCCCGCTACCCGAACCGTCCGAAAGGCTCGTTTAGTGAGGCGGGCTCTCGGGGCGCCGGGCAGGAGCCGGACCGGGCAGGCGGGCGCCCCACGGCCCTCCCCCGCCCCTCTCCCCGCCCAGCGGTCCTCTACCAGGAATACAGCGACGTGGCCAGCGCCCGCGAACTGCGGCGGCAGCAGCGCGAGGAGGAGGGCCCGGGGGACGAGGCGGAGGGCGCGGAGGAGGGGCCCGGGCCGCCGCGCGCCAACCTCTCCCCGAGCAGCTCCTTCCGGGCGCAGCGCTCAGCGCGAGGCTCCACCTTCTCGCTGTGGCAGGACATCCCCGACGTGCGCGGCAGCGGCGTCCTGGCCACGCTGAGCCTGCGCGACTGCAAACTGCAGGAGGTGGGCGCCGGGGGCCGGCGGAGCGGGCCGGCGGGGCTGCCTGCCGGGGAGGTGGCCCTGGGGCCCGCGGGGGGCGGGGCCACAGAAGGGGCGGGGCCAGGAGGACGTGGTAGGGGGGTGGTCCCTCGACTTAGCGGGGCCTCAGGCCCTGGGTTACCGGGCCAGCGGGACTGCACACTGCTGGAGGTGGGCGTGGGACCCAGCGGGGAAGGCGGGGCCGTCTATGCGAAAGGTGGGTGCACGGACCTGACCAGGTGGGGCAGGCTGCTAGCGGGGCCGGGAGCGCTGCAGCAGCCGTCGAGAGCGGCGGCTGGACGGAGGGGTGGGGCCAGGGGCGGGGCCAACAGGGCCAGCGGAGGGGCGGAGTCAGGCTGGGCCGGCCGAGGTGGGACCGCGAAAGCGAGGACCCGGAGGGGCAGAGCCCTCTGGAGGGAAAACGCCTGGTGG